GTGAGGTATATCCAACGCACATCAACAACTATAAGAACACCACGAGATTAACGCTAGCACAATCCAACGCACATCAACGATGACTATGATAGCACCACGAGATCAACGCTAGCTCAACTCTACATATCATAGTCACCCAATTCAAGATCTTGATGATTAATTCAAGCTAAGTTCTTAGCCCTTATACACATAGGGTCCATCTCATCACTCTCACATGATCATGGGGCCCACCCTAGATGCCAAATTCCGCTCCATATTATCAACGTATATCTATTACCTGGGAGAAACCGCAATGGTTGGTTGGTCTATTTGGACCCCAATCCCTAGAAAGATTTTTTAATATTCAAGCGCTATTCTATAAATAATATATTTCTATTTATTTTATGATACATCGAATAATTGCTTGAATACTGAGTACTTTAAAAAATTTCTGCCACCCCACCCATTTGCCGGATTTGGATCCTATTCGAATTCAAATTGTGGGAATTCTAGGACTTCTCATATCTTAGTTACTTATCGTGCATGATGCGATAAAAAATTATTTGATATTTTTTATTTAAAATTAAACACAAATAATACATGATAAAAATTAATTGCACGATGTACGATGAACAGTTACGACGTAGGAATAACACAAAGTAGATCCGAAGAAGATCCTGCCCGTGACAATTTTCCCTCCAAAAAGACTAAAAAATAACACTTTTAAGGGTACAATCCTATCCTATGTAATATGTGGACCCATCCTGTACCCTTGGATCTCCCATCGCTGCCACGTGTCACGAATCCACCAGCCGACTGCAATTTTACATCTTAAAGTGGATATCATATATCGGTATTTAATTTCAAACCCAAATTACGAAACGTGGGCCCCCACACGACAAAGACAATGCTCGTATGGCCAATACGGCGTCGCAGGAGTCTCGAGGGGGGTGTACAATATTTGGTTGCTGAATGGGGCTGTGCAAAACTGCAAACCGACAGCATAAAAGCAGGAAAGTGATAACTGAAAAACGAAAGCTCTTCTCTGACATGGCTCATCATCTTCTCGCTTCCTCTTAGAGTCCTTGTCTGAATTTCCGTCTTTGCAACCGCAAAACGGTTCGTTTCATTGAACGGTTTAGATCCAAGCCTAACGAGTTCCCACTTTTTCATTTACCTTAGAGGTTTGTTCTGCTTCTCTGTTTTTCTTCTTCTTCTTCCTGTTTGATGGAATTGAATTGGTGGGTGCTTTTGTTTCTAAGTTTTTTATGGATTTTTTTTTTTGTTGGGTTTTGTTTTTCACCATGTTTGCTAATCTGGGTTCGTCTCATGAACTACGAGGAGGGGATTCGAACTTGAGTGCAGAGGCGGAGCACACTGCTCCTGTCTCTCGCTAACTTGGCTAAGTCCAAGCCTGCTAATTTGGGTGCTTAAATTTGGCAGGATTATGTTTAAGGGTTAGTAAGGTCATTCAGAACCCTTTGGCATTTTGCATTGGGGTTTCTTATAGAAAGAAAACAAGGGTTGGATTAAGGACGGTTGAATGAATGTTTGAGGGTTTGGTCTTTGCTTTTACTCATCCAGTGGAGGTAATGGCTCTTCAACATTTTAATTGGTATTAATGTTTTTAAAGCTTTCTATTTTTTTTTCGTGATTTCGAATTTTTGTGCAGTTGCTAATTGTGTTATCCATTGGTTTTTGTTCTTCTTCTGATTGTGTTGGTGCTTTTATTCGTTTGAACTTCTGTTTTGTATTTGTTTTGAGCGATGCGGGATTAAGATTTGTTTTTTCATTGGCCTTGAAGAAAAGGAATGATGGTGATTGGGGTTGTTGATTCTCCTCGAGTGCGATTCTCATAAAGTCAAGCGAGCACGCAGCGAGCTTGATATAAAGGGAAGTAGGTTGTGGAGTTGGAATCTAGGAATTTCCACATCGATCGCAGTTGTGTGACTTGTAAGGAGATTCGGGTTTTGAGTCAAATTGGCTGGGTTGACAACGGTTGCAAAACCCGCCTGATCATGATATAAAGTATAGCAAGCTTTATAATCTGGTTTGTATCTTATAATTTTTCGGGTAATGAAGGATTTCAGCTAGTTCTAGTGTGTAAAATCGGGATATCCGGTGTCCCATTACATAACTTCGGCTGACACCATGGACTTTTAACAGCTTCCATAAGTTGTCATTCTCCAAATGAACTGTGAACTTGTCCAATATGTTGAAGACTTGCCATCGTCTTGATTTTAATTTTAGAACCTATCTTGGATTCTTCTAATGAATAATTGTTTTGTTTTTCTCTTGTTGCTTCTCTGGTGGGATTTCGGTAGTGAAATAGTACGACCCTTTCTGATGTGTTCTTCTTTTTTTGTTAACAGTGTGCAGCGTATTTGCCTTCTACAAGGTAAAATGTGCAAAAGAATAACAAGTTGATGGCAGCAGCAGAAGCAAGGGCTGTGTGGCAGAGAGCAGCTAATCGTTGTTTCGTCCAAGAGGATGCCAAAAGAGCTCCCAAGTTAGCGTGCTGCCAATCCTCTTCTTCCACAACTAGGCAGGTTGATGCTGGGCCTGCAATTGGAGCAGAAGGGCCAGATCATCCTGCCGCCGGTTTCATGCCTGTCAACCGGAATCCATATTCTAGTCGACCCCCCGGTACAAGATGGTGGCTGCAACCTAGCCATGGGCACCAAAAGGATTTTACATACGAACAGTTAAATGCTTTGGAGGCTGACATGGAAACACTGAGAGCTGGGTTCGTGAAATCAACACCCAACACTAGCGAGGTCCACCAGCAAAAAGCAGAATTCACTGATGCGGATAGTATCTCCGCTGTTTGTACGAAGACAGGCTACGAAGTGCAAAAGCAAGATGTTAGCACCAAATATTGTGAAAACATGCAGGAACTTCTCCAATACGAAATGAAGGGAAAATGTGAAATAATGGGGATGGATACCATTGATTGCCCAGTTTCCAAGAAACCCAAGGAGTTTTGTTGTGATTATCCTTGGCTTGGAGGTGGGAGAGCTGAACCATGGTGGCGGACAACGGACAGAGATGAATTGGCTTCCTTGGTTGCTCAGAAGTCGCTTAACCATATTGAGAACTGCGACCTTCCCCCACCTCAGAAAATGTATCATAAGAGACATCCATATGCTGATATTGGTTGTTCTGACCCGAATGTGATATTGGGGACATCTTTAGATGCGAAGGCCCAAGCGAACTATCTTTCCAATATGACCACTCCTGCACATCGCTATCGTGAATCTGGAAAGGGAGAAGCATCCGGAGAAGGGCACTCCGACAAGTCATTCAGGTGGTTATTACATAATAGATTGACATTTCAGGTCCCCATGTTATTTACGAATTCTTTCAGATTTTTAGATTGTACTCCGTCTAAAAAAAAATTTGGGACTAGCAATCTGAGATCAGATGTATTACTACTTGCAGAGACGTCATGGAGATTCAACAACCTTCTGAGGGTGAGCCTACAAAAGCTCAGCTAATGGAGGCACTCTGCCATTCTCAAACACGTGCAAGGGAAGCTGAGATGGCGGCGAAGCAAGCTTATGCCGAGAAGGAGCACATCTTTAAGCTCTTCTTCAGACAAGCCTCTGAACTCTTTGCCTATAAGCAGTGGTTCCGATTGCTGCAGCTGGAAAGCCTTTATCTCCAGATCAAAAACAATGACCAGCGTCCAAGCGCCACTGTTTTACCGGAGGGACTTCCATGGATGCCATCCAAAGGCAAGAAACTGCGGAGGAGCCGGCGTAAGGGTGCCAAGGGTAAAGGAGGAAGGAGGGCCGAACCCAGACACGACATTACAACGTATGCTGTTGCTTTTGCATTGGGGTTCGGTCTTGTTGGTGCTGGGTTGCTGCTGGGATGGACTGTGGGGTGGATGTTACCCCATTTCTAGGCTGTGTAGTAGTTCTGAGTTCTGACCATTTCATGCTTCTTGTAATGATTGTTCAAAAGGGAATAGGTATTTTGGGTTAGTTTCTTTTTCTGTGTATTTCGTCCAGGTTTTTCGTAGTTTTCGTATGTAAATATACCCCGATGTACGTGTATAAATACTGCAAGGACGGATGAGATTCTGCATAAAATTGGTTGGTTGTTCTTCCACCTTATGTTTGTAAATTATAACAAGTCTTGCTTCCTTTTCCTTTTGTTTTCCTATGTAACTATATCAAGACCTTGAAAGCCAGTTTGGTGTTTAAATTTTGTGTGTTTTGACTTTGATGCTCTCATGATTTATGAGACTTGTGTGTAGCTTCAGAATATGGCATCACAGTCGGAAATTTTGAAGAGACGACTTTCCTGTCCCGCTGAATGAAGAGTTAGTTGCCATCGATGAGAGAAAGAGGAATCAATCGGTGTTATTGTTACGTTACGATGTTGTGCTACTGTTAATTTATTCATGTTATAATACGTTCATCCACTTATAACGTTAAAACTCACTTAGCCTTATGATTTACTCTTATTATATTACGTTGATAATATATTAACACATTGTGATACTCAAACTCAAAAGAGAACTCACTTTAACATAAGAGTGTTACACATTAGAGCATCTTCAGTGGGTGGTGTATTACCTCTTTTTTAGCTCATGAAGAAGAATACCATATTTGAGTGGACGTCTAACTGCAAAGAAGTCTTTCAATTTGAATACAATTATTTCTACAATTTGAAGGCGATATGGTTTACCGTGCGCCAAACTGTGACAAGGAGGGGGCTAAAAATGCAAGTGATCATTTACGACAATGGTGGAAAAGTGTTGAGTTCTTGTATAACGGTGTAGATCTTAACCCGAAAATGTGATTATTAATTAATATTTCCATTTTGCCCATGGTGCATGAGAAAATAACCCGAATATAAACTTGGGTCTCTCTATTGGAACCAAAATGGAAGCAAATGGACCATAATAGTTAGGACTGGATTAATGAGAAGCCCAAGTTTGAGCCCAAATTAAGTAGTGAACCCGATTCGTTAATGACCCGTCCCTTCACCCGGGTCTTCTTGCGAAGCAGATCCGTTTCTGGTTCCTTCCATTTCCTTGCAGCTTTCTAGGTCGTAGCTCAGACGACGAAGAGGATCACTCACACGCACAAACTCGAAAGTACACACACCAGAGAGATGGCAGTGATGGAGAAGCTCAGGATGTTCGTCGCTCAGGAGCCTGTCGTCGCAGCTTCTTGCCTCATCGCCGGCGTTGGTACTCTCTCTCTCCCTCTAGTTAAATTTAGGATCCAATTGATGGGATTCAAATGCCCAGAATTGGAACACTGATTTCAATGTTTATAAATTGAGTTTTGGTTTCGTGTTCAAAGTTACCGATTTGAGGGGGTTTTCATCTCAAATTAGATGATGGGCAGTTGCCAATGCGTTTTCTTTTGAATGTTTGAGCGCAATGAAGGTGTAATTTAGAGCTGTTTGATGCCGAGGAAGTCTTGGTTTCTTTCCCTTTGAAGTGTGTGAAGTATTGCATACTTTAAAGCAGGAATTTGCATGCATGTTTCAAGGCAAAGTTTGAATCTTTTTGCCGAATTTCGTTATCTCGTGATCTCTTACGATTTACAAGTTTAAGAATTCCATGTTTTGGAGCTGTTTGCATTCATTTATCGAAGAAAAACTCAGAAGAATAATTAGTTCCTAATGAATTAGAATTGCATTTTCCAATTGCAAAATTATCCCTATAGAAATTGTATTAGATTCGGGTCAAATTTGGCTCCTAATGTTTTCAAGTTAATAAATCAAGCATTCTAAGAATCATCTAATCAGTATCTGTTAAGGTTTCAAGGGCATTCCTGTCGGGGTTATTGCCATCTTCAACTGACTCGTTATTGTGGATTGAATTTCAGGACTCTTCCTTCCCGCTGTAGTAAGGCCAATTCTAGATTCCTTTGAAGCATCTAAGCAAGTCCCTCAGCCTGCTTTAAGTGATGTGAGTGTTAAATCACATGTTAATTTGAATTTTCATTCGTACCACCTAATTATGCACTTTACACCATTGGAGTACTTGGTATGTTGTTTTGCTCGTAGTGAAATGTTCACGGCTGATTCATGCTTTTCCAGATTAGAACATAATTTAACTTGGATAAAGTGACTGCTCAAAAGATCTAGCGTTGATACTATGATGGTGTTCAACTTAGATCTTATCACTACTGAGCTGCTTTAAGGAACCTATCCAACACGGTGGACTTCATCTTATAGTTAGAATGGTGGTCTTCATAGAATGCTTATGGACCCTCACAACGCCTTTACATAGGTCTACGTGGTTTGGTGCTCTTACACTTCAATGAGCATGTAACTTGGAAAGGATAGGAAAACAAGAACATAGAATAATCGGATCCTCTCAACTTGCCTTGCCCCTTACATACATTGACATGATTTGATTATGTGCTTTTACACGTCCACGAGTTTTGAACAATTTTTTCTCAAAAAAAAAAAAAGTTACAAATGATTTGATACCCTCACAACATTTCAACATCTTCTGACTTGTTTGTTTACTATCACTCCTTTTCTGAATTACCCGGGTATTTTTTGCAGGTGGTTGCAGGTATGACAGGTAAAAAATAGCGGTGATATGATTTATCGGTACAGGCAACAAAATTCGAACGATTTCCCTGTCATTTTTCCATTGTCTTGAGCATTGAAATAAGCATGACAAACTTGTATGGAGACAGTGATGCTGCATGTTGAATATTATCCTTTTTGTTACAAGCATATGATTGGTTTCCTGTCGCGTTAACTTTAACTAGCCGAAGCTTAATTTGAAGCCTAATCAATGCAGTTCTTGTTAGATTGAAGCCTAATTTGAAGCTTAATGAATGCATGTTGGACACAAGTGTCTGCTGCTGTTTTATTCTTCATACGAATTCAAATTTCTTTCCATTGTCTTGTACAACTTTCGTTTGTCCCGATAAACATAATTTACAGGTTTGAATGCCTTTCTGATCCCCATGTTTTGCTCGGGTTTTCGATTTGGCCAATTTGGTCACGGAGTTTTAATCTGTTAACTATTTGGGTCATTTCCGTCTCGTTTCGGTGTTAATGCACAGACGCGAAGGCTCACACGACAGCGATTAACATCAAATTAGGCAAAATGTACTGAAATTGTTGACAGGATAAAGCACATCAAATTAGGGCTAAATTTTACACAAATACATTACAAATTCATTTTACATTTTACATGTCCGTATGGGGACTGACCATAAACCCTAACCCATAACAAAGTCCCCCGCAATTCAGCACCATCCCGGTTTTCAGCACCGGTGGCGGCGGTGTTTCTGAAGTCCTTAGCTTGAGTATGGAGAAGAAAGGGTCATTTTCCATTGACATATAATATTAAAGGACTAGACAGAGACAAGCCTAAATCATATAACAAACCCATCTTTCTTGAATTTTCTATTCTTCCATGGAACTGCCTGTTTCAAGCTCTGTTTCACTGTCGCCTGCAAACATGGAAGCAAGTTTTACTTCAATTACAAATAACTTCAACGTTCCCAAACGAAAATCTAAATGTCTGGTTGGAACTGCATTTAGAATGCTTGAAAGCGCTTGCGCATGGCGGAAAAAGATTAGAAATGACAACTGCAAAGATTGTATAAGCATTTGAAGGTGCTTCTCCAAAAAGCAATTCCAAATGCTTCTAGCTAAAATGCTTATGATCAAAAGTGCTTCTTCCAAAAGCATCTTAAAATGGGCCATAACGACTTTTCCTTAAGTCGTCACACTCGTGGCCTTGGCCAAACCAGCGACATAACATGTTCTCACACTCCCATTCCATTCCTCTGCCTACCCTACAAAGTACAAACCCCAATCTATCTTGTCCTACTTAGAGACCTGCTTAGTTGGGTACATATAGCATGGCAATATGGCATACTACATACCAGATGAATATGGCACGCACCGGATGAATAGAGGGTTGGATATGCGGCCAAGATTCTAAGGACTAGAGATCCCAGTGTGTATGTGCATACTATATACCGGTGCATACTAAAAGAACCCCTTTCTTTCTCTAGCAAAGAGCTTAGATCAATTCGCCTGCAGAAGAGGGGAACCTGTCACACCCTTCCGAGGCTTTGTACCAGTTTCTCAATGACATTAAAACCATCTAGAGTTCATACTTTCTCGGTCAAATTTTACACGAGCGATACTAAATGGAACTCGGGACGTCAGGTGCAAGGGTGAATGCGCTGACAAAATTTTAATGATACGTGAGCGTGCCATAATATATAAAATCCATTTAAAATTAAAAACCAAAGGATGAGATAAATGAAAGAAATTATTTACCCAGAAGTGAGGTTTGTCATGAGAGAGACTAGAAAAGCTCCCAACCCTTGTAATCCTTGGCACCTTCTTCTTCAGCTTCATCCTCCCACTCTCTCCTCCCACACTGCCACCACCGTCACTCTCTCCGTCCACAGAAGATGGAAAGACATAACTAGCCCCACCAACGTCTCTTTTTCCCTTCAACACCCTCCTCCCCCATGAGTCAAACCACCCTCTCTCCTTCCCTTTCCTGCTCAGAACCAGAGCACCAAGCCCCCCTCCTCTCTCGGGGCTAAAACCGCCATAACACTCCATCCTGAATGAGGAAGACTGAAACCTTGGCCTGCCGACATAAGGACCCTCCAACACTGTGGTGGGAGAAAGCTGTTTGGCTTCCAAAAGCAGCCTTGGAGGGAGCTCTAAGCACTTTTGGGAAAAGTCAGTGGGGTTTTGAAGGGTGGCCAGGGCAGTGCAGGGCCTTGGCTTCCCGGGCTGCTCTTCCCAGCGGAATGGGACCGAGACTGAGGAGGGGTGGGGCGGGGTTAGGGTCCCTGATGGCTCGTGGGAGTGAAATGGTGGGGCAGAAAATAAGGGCAGCTGTGGTGGCTCGGCCTCATCAGATCCCAGCCCCATTGCTGTAAAAGTTTTTTGAGTGTGAAAAGGGAGAGACAATGGAGGAGGAGAAGAGAAAGAGGAAAGTCCCCAGAGGAAAATAAAAGGCAAAAGTCACATATACCTTTTAATCGAGGGTTGCTATGTTTGCTAAGCTCGTACTATTGCTGCTTGACAGGAAATCCCCACACATGGAAATTGATGGCGAGCAGTGCATCCACATTTTTTGTTTTTATTTAGAATTACTATTGAGGATTAAAAAATTATGTTTATTGGACTGACAAAGTGGTAATGATTGTATCAATTTGTGACTGTTCCTAATCATTTATGCTAATTGAACTCACAAAGTAAGAAAGGCCATATCAGTTTCGCACGCGTTCTCAACCGATCCTAGTCATTCATGCTACTTGAGCTCATGATCGGGCAAAATTAGTCTTACACCGAGCGATTGTTTTAGCAATTCCTCTTGGATGGTACTAAAAGCAAAGCAGGGTTCCGTTCAATGTGCATTTGCGACTAATCCTATTATTCCTCTTGATTGGGATAGAGATCCATTCCGAATCTTAGTGTCTGTAGCTCAAGGATCCGGCAATCCAGACCGTTCAAATTGAATCTGACTATTCCGTTAACTCATTTTACTAGCCCACTTTACACAAATCAAGTGCTCTAATTTTTCTTTCACACAAACCAAGAGCCCCAAATTTCTCATCCTTAAGCTCCTTAAGCTCGGGGCACTAAGGTCAGAAGAGGATAACAGAGGTGGTCCTGTGTACTATCCCAATCGAATGGGGCTTCTGGCATAAAACATAGGAAGGAAGTTAGATTTTCTGTACCAATTTCAAAGACCCATGGTAGCATTTGGTGCACACGAGCATACCAGATTGGAACTGGAATCATGAAAGCATAGGATGCCAACCTGTGATGTAGAATAAACCCTTTTCAGAAGTCCTACCGAGCCTCTCTTTGGACTTTAGCAACTTAGTTGGTCAATCAAAGTTGCAACCAAAAAAGTCATCTCCTCTGTGCCACTAAACCCTAAAAACCTTCCCACCCTCTCAAGGCAACCGCAGATTGTCATGTCCTTGTAAGTCTAAAGCTTCAAAGCATGAGAAAACACATTCAACCAATCTAGTGCTAAAGAGTTGGATTTTGAAGGGTTGGCACTAAGAAGAAGATACCAGCTGGCTTTCGAAGGCCTAACAAAACCTGCCTCCACATTGACCATACATGTAAAATAGTAAAAGGGATTCCGTTACGCAACTAGTTGGACGTACTATTTTTTCTATCTCTTTCATCACGTGATTAAGATGAAAAAGATGAATGATAGACCGATAGAGACATACTACTGATTGCACCCAAAAAAATTTCGTTATTGAGGAAATTATTCTATACGAATTCACATATAATGAGAAAGTTATCTGTCTCTAGATTGCCGAGTTCTTGATTAGGGTACTGATTAATCACAGTCCATTGACTTGCCTTGCCATTAACTAAGGATTAGTAGTAAAGATGCACCTAAGAATCCAAGCCTCATATAACAGGAACTTTTTTTATCAACTCTAATGAAATGAAAGTCAATAATACTATACGAAATCTTAGTTGATTTGGGAGCAATCAAAGGCATTGTGTGACATAGAGCAAGAAGTAATGTTTACGTATAACTTCAACTCATTCATTGATTTTTCAACATCAGTCGCTTCAGACCTCCACTTAGTTTCACTCAAGTTTCATCCAGATCATGGATACTTGAATAGACCATTGACAAATGTGTAATTGCTCAAACAATTATCTATGACATTTTAATTAGGGTAGTGGTATTAGGAGTAATCGTGTGGCTAACCATCAGTGTTGTAGTTGGCGTGGTAGAGTTGCTACTTGTCAATTGTCATCCAGGAGCAAAAGTCAAGGGGAAAAGCAGAAAGCAAGTCATTTTCATAATCAAAGAATTAGCTTTGCTCAAAAGCAGATTTGTGATATCATAAAAGGGTGATCAGAGTCCTTTTCTCTCCTATGACTTTATAGTATAGGCCTAATTGCAATCCATAACTTCAAAAGTACTTATATTTCTCTACCGACTTCGGAAGTATGTAAAACGAGGATGTACACTGTGTTTCTCATTGTGTCCATGTTACAACTAACAATAACAAAACGTCATGTGATTGAGAAACGCTCGGAAAAGTCTTGGCTTGAGTAAAAGTAATTGAAATATATTGTATCATAAATCCGATCTATAAATTAGATTAGCATAATCGATGTTGATATAATTTGCTTTGTCTTGTTTGGCAAAAATACTAAAAACTCACTAAACCCATAATCATAGCGAAATTCGAATAAGTAAGAAACTAAGGGTAATAATGATTAAAGTGTAATTATGTAGAAAGTAGAAAGCAAAAAAAATGAAAAACACATGAAACAAACAAGTTTTTTTTTTCAAGGCTTATTAATTGATTTGTCTTATGAAACTGTCATTTAGCCTCAATTTACCATTTAAAACTAGTTTTGTCTCATTTTGCCCCATGAAACTGACATTTTCGTCTTATTTAGTCTCAGTTCACCCTATTTTTCGTCCATTCCGTCAAATAAACGTTAAATTAAAGGATAGTGTGAACATTTTATTTTTGTCACAACTCTTTACCTCCAACTTGTTTGCTAAACAATTCCAATTCCATTTTTGATAACTCTAATTCATACCCCATCTGCCTTTCTTGCAGATTGGTGTGGAGCTGTAATTGCAACTGTTGGCAAAAGCAAATAATGAGTTGTGTGTTTAAAAGCAAATAATGAGTTGTCTTTCAAAATCAAATTTAAGCCACTCATTGAATCCAACTACTGAAGATACAGCTAAGCATCAATCTGCAAGGGAGACAGAAGGGGGTTTGAACTGGAGTTACCAAGAATTGAATTGTGATTGTTTTATCATGCAAGTTGGAGGCAAAGAATTGTGTCAAAAATAAAAGGGATGTTTTGGATGCGGTCTCTAATCCTTAACATTCTTTGACTAAAACCTTAATGATATTCAAAGTTTGATCAAAGTCCCTTGACTTTGTACACCTCATTATATTACAATTAATATTTATATTTTTATAGTTTTGACATTAATTGTTTGATATTTTATGAGATTTATAATCCTATAAATTTAAAATCCCTCATTATAATACTATCAGAAACGGTTACAATAAAAAAATTCAAACATTTTGATTAAATAAATGGATAAAAACTATGTAAAAATAAGAAATAATAAATGGCAAAAGAATGTATCCATAGTGTTAAAAAAATTTGGTACATTTCACATATAACAAAGTGGTACATTAATAAAGAAGAATGGGAACATTATAAATAAATTAGGGTACAGATAAAAGATTAAAAAATTATGAGTACAAATGAATTTTTAAAAACTATAGGCGCTAAAAGAAATTAATACATGGGTTCAAAATAAAACTAAAAAGAAAATACTACAAATTAAAAAAAAATGTTGCAAATTAAAAGTGGGTACAAACTAAAAATATAAATATATGATACAAAGTTTAGGCATAAAACATAATATGTAATTTTTCTATCATTGATTAAATACACAATGTCACGTGACGGTATACACATGGGTACAAACACAAATAAAACTTTAAAAAATATGGGCACTAAAAGAAACTAATATATGGGTACAAATTAAAAATGGAAAAAAAATTGGTACAAATTAAAAATAGGTACAAACTAAAATAAAAATATATGATAAAAAATTTAGCCATAAATATAAATATACTAATTGTAACATTTTTAACACTAAAGGAATATATTTAAAAATAAAAATATTTTATTATTCAAATAATTAATGATGTTATTAATATATAAGGACCTCGATCAAAAATTGAAAATGAATAGGATTTTAATCAATGGAGTAGCAAAAAAAAGGATGTGAACCTAATTTCTCCAAAATAAAATGTCCATACTATCCTTTAATTTAACATTTATTTGATGGAATTGACGAAAATTGGGTGAACTGAGACTAAATGAGACAAAAATGACAGTTTTATGAGATAAAGTGAGACAAAACTAATTTCAGAAAGTAAAATGAGGCTAAATGATAGTTTCAAGAGGAAATCAATCATTAAGCCTTTTGTCAATGAGAGAGAGTTTGGTGGTGGAAACAAACAACCTTCCCAAACCCATTAATCATTTAAGGGCTTCTTAGCTTTGGGCTATTACTATTAAAAATCTTCATTTCTGCTTAGTAACATACAAAACCCATAAATTCATGGGCTTATTCTTTTGAGTTAGGCCGACCCTTTTAAGAATTAACACTAAGATCACAAGAACATTTTAATTGTAGAGGTAGCAGATGCGAGTTACCTTTGGTGGTTAAGCTACTAGGTCGGGCTCTTGTATCCAAATTTGAACATTCAATTCTAAAATTGAACGTCATTATTATTTAATACTATGATTTAGTAATATTTGTTTTTACTAGAAGTGGGAGGTTTTTAGTAGTAACGGAAATCAATAATACTTATGCATTATAATGTTGGTTCAATCTCCACCTATCTCCCTCACCTCTAACATTTAACAATTTAACCTACTAACGCAATAGTTTTTCCTAGAAGAAAAAAAAATAGGGGTCTTAGGTTCGAATCTCGCAAATAACGAGTTCGAAATCTAATTATTATGACATTTGCCTAATGTATGATTAACTCAAATCTCTCGCCTTTAGTGTAAATGCATCTTTGTATAAAAAAAAAAATTATATATATACATAATGTCTTCGTATTAAAAAACATCTTCTTTATATATAAAGCCAAGAACCCAATGAATAGTATTTCTTTGGTGTCACAAGTTTCACAAAAAATAATTGGACAAAAATGCCCCTCAAACGAAAAACTTCAAAAGCAACCCAAAATAATGCATCAAATGTGACAGGGGTACTTTCATCATTTTAACAGTTTTTTTTTAATAATTAATTATTTTTGTACATTTTTTTTTAATAATTAGTACCTCACAATAGGCTAACAATAATGCGATTCAATCAGTTGTTCATTAAATATTATTTTCTCTATTTTTAAACACGTTCAAAACATTTAAAAGGCGTGTAATGCCGGTTATAAAAAATGTTTTTCGCACGCGGATAATAATGTGATTAAATAAGTTGTCAAATGAAATTTTGTTTTGAACAAACGATATTATCTACACTAAGGGGGAGGGGTGGGTTTAGTTTCACAATGGGCTAGCAATAATATGATTCAATCAATTGTTTATTAAATATTATTTTCTCTATTTTTAATATAAATTCAATAGAGATCGATTTTATTATGTGGATTTAGCTGCTTTAATTGGTTTATGAAGGGTTTCTTCTAGCATGATCTAAGATTATTCATTTACTTCAAATCTTTGACTTTTCTTTGTCAATTTACGCATATAAATATATTTAAAACGTATAAGTAGCGCGTAGCACGCCGTAATTCAAAAAATGTCTTCTACAAACGCGTAAGTCGGTGCATGAAGGCTAGTAAGAGATAAAGAAAACTTCTCTTTGTAAACATGATAAAAGTGAGCATATATCTGGTAAACACTAGAAGCCATTCACCTCACTAATGGATGATTTTTGACATCATAGGTGGTTGACCAACTATAGTATTTTATGTTTTTATAAGACGATATATTTTAAATAACTTTAACTTGCAGGTGAGCAATATTCGAATTTAGATTAAGAGGTCACAAATTGTTTTAATTAACTGACTTAATATATTTTATTATTAGTTATATTTCACTTATCCCATCATATAACTTTTTATTGCAGTGGCAAAAAGTAATAATGTTTATATACTTTGGTGCGAGTTTGATTCTCACAAATCCTCCTCTCCTAACATTTAACAAATTAACTCGCTAAACGATATGAATTGTAGGAGAATCCAGTAGACATAGACATTGGGCAAAGAAGGAATTAAAGGAAACAAAGGGACTAGGTCAGACTAATTTTATATATATATTACATTTATTGGCCTTTTATACGTACTCTTTTGTGAAACTGTCTTGAATAATATTGTAACAAAATTTTGTATGTTATGTGAAGAGACAATTGAATCTGCCTTTCATTTGTATTTTCTAAAACATAATATAAACAAATTTGGAGCTGTCACGCAATCTTCCCGAACTCCATCTCCCCTAAAATAAGGCATATACAATCTACTCTTTTATTAATAATAAACAAACAACTAACTTTGATTTTTTGAAAATTGCTGATCTCCGTCAACATCAAGCATTCAAACAAGAATTCATATGACCAATTAATGTTTTAATTAACAGTTTGACGATATAACACGTTAATAAAAGAACATTTCCAACTTATGTGTAGCATGTATAACAAAAACATGTAAATTTTTCTTAGAAACAAGCTTTGGAAGAACCAAAAGAACAAATATTATTTTGTTTGATTCAACAAAGCAACAAATATTATGATATTAAGTGTCCCTCACTATGCCATGTTACATGAAAAATGTTCAACGAGTTTTGCACTTATTAGTATTTTGAAAAAGGATAGTCAGCCGTTAAAGGGTGCGGATTCAGTTTTAAGACCACTAGTCTACGTCCATTAACAATTTGAATCCACACCCGTCGATGGCTAACAACTAATGTAAAGTTTAAAACCACCAATATCAGTAGTGGACAAAAGGGTCTCTTCTAGCATTCTTGAAATATGTGGAAGTTTAAACTAATGTTTGGTGCATTTTTACCTTGCTTTTTCCTATATATGTTATCATTTTGAATTCTTAAGATCATTTTTCCTTTGAGTTTGAGCTTAAGTTGGACATGCCTGCAACGGAAGGCAATGAGAAAATGCATGGAAAACCCACATCTTTTTGCTTTCAATACAAGTGACAGACAGAGAGGGTAGAATTGAACTCGAAAACTCAAGCGTAAGAGTGAATGTTGTTAATCAAACTTTTAGTATCTTTACTTCTTAGTGAAAAGAGAGTTGGTGAAGGAAATAGTGAATGTTGTTAATCAAACTTTTAGTATCTTTATTTCTTAGTGAAAAGAGAGTTGGTGAAGGAAATTTTCAAAGATAAAATAATGATGCTAATCCCCTCATATCTTCCTTGTCCTTGTCAAATGGATTTTACACATTTTGATGCTTTCTTTTTCCACCCTTTCTCCACTTCCACTTTCCTCTCTATCTTCATGAAAACACCACCTGCCTCCACATTTCAGACAACTTAGACCAAAAGTTGCTGCCTCCCCCACTTGCTCCACACATCACACATTGCCATAGCCTTTTCTTTCTTTTCTTTCCTTTTTCCAACACCTTTTTTACGCGTTACGTTAATGTTCAACTGCACTGTAAAATTAAAGCGCTTGACAATGCGTGACTGGCTTAAAAATCATCTTCTTCAGTAGGTAAGTTTCTCCCAAAGGACTTTCCACACAATAAAACCAAAGGACTAAATTGAAAACCAAATGGCAAACATACATATTATGTATTTTTACAGGCCGACTCATCCTAACCCACACCAAGTATTGACAGATTTCCATTTTCTAGTCCTGATTAAGAGTAGTTGCTTTGCTAACCCAGCACCAAAACAAAACCCCTAAATCCCACCTAGCCCCCTTCTGTTTTCCTACAGCATGCTCTAAAAATATGAGTAAAACAACTACCACCACAAGAAGCAAAAAGGGAAGTTGAACTAATCATGTTCCAATCTACGCTCAGAATCCATGCTTACCGTCCCTTCACAATCTAAAGATGAACTCTGAAGCTTGAATCTGTTCATCTTCTGTACCTCGTCGCTTGAATATATAAATATCTTCTTCACCAGCTTACAGAAGTCTCTGCATTTGGAAAAAAATTTAATGTAGTTAGAACCCAGTTCATTTTGCAATGAAATGAAATAGTGCAGTAGACCGAATCTTAGGTTACTAACGGCCATTGATCATCGCCCATAAGCATCATGTCATTTTCATCATCCGTGAAAACAACTGCCCATTTGTTCTGTGGACGAAGCTCCCCTTTGATCTCAAACATTTTCTCTAGCTCATCAATTAGATGATCGTAGCCTTTCAATGCAGTCAAGTCCAAAGCACGACCAACAGCAACCCCTTGCATTTGCACCTTATCAGTAGACAAAACAAATAGCTCATCAGGAACAACTGCTTTTAACTAGTGGTGTGATAAAAACGGAACCAGCAATAGTCCACATTTTACCTTAGTGCGAGTTCTCATTGAAAGAGTCAATCCTTGCTTGCCCTGTGTTTCTTTTGGTGAGGCCTCCAAGATTACTTGTTTCTGCTCTTTTGACAGCTTCGAAACATCCAGAATCTGATCGGATTCAAATGCATCAGCTGGAATAGGTCCTTTGGCACCAGACGGCATTGTTTTAAACACTAGCTCTTGAGGACAAGTTGTTTTAGTGTTGTTTGTCAAATTGCAACCAAACAACCTAAAACCTGAAGTGTCAGATTTTTTCCCGTTTTCAACCTGGTCATGCATCGGGACATTATTTGGCTTTGAGGTAATTGGGGAGGCAAAGCTAGAGAGCACAGACCCTATAGTTACATTCTTGTTGCTTTCCTTTGAGTCTGGGAAAAGGCACAAAGAAACAGTCACGTTCGGGGAAGAAGGCCAGATGCCATCTGAGCATACCCTTGCGCTAGAGTAACTGCTGCTATTGCTTTCTTTCTGCCTCATAGGCCAGACAATCTGACTACTAGAGCTTTGGACTTCCGGAACACCACCTAATTGGTTTAACTCTGTGGTCTGGGGTGAGCTATGATACCAAAATGCTGAAGCAGCTGAATTGGTGGTAACTTCTACAATCCAATTTATGCAAACAAGAAAAGACATTCAGAACTTGGATTTTTTTTTTAATAAGTAAATAATCCAGTGCGGTTATTTTTCATACCAGATGAAGCAATTTCTACAGGCCGAGGCCTTTTACTCTTTACCACTGGTTGAGCAAGATTTAAAGGAGCAGAAGCTACAAAAAGTTCAATATCCCAAGGAGAAACCCTCTCTGGCCTTTGAACTGCAGCATGCTCATCCCATTGAACCTGCAAGAAATACAGCGAAAGATAAGTACATGAACAGGAGCAAATAAAACAGCATTTGATCTGTTACTTGTTAGCATCTTAACCTTCAACGATCGCCATTTAGACTCCAACCACTGAGGAGATAAATCCCCAACCTCAACTATTGTGCCTGTGAACCTGAGCAATTAAAATATGTAGAAATTTACAATCTAGTTGAGTATTAAGAAAACATTAATGACCAAAAATCCATTACAGACGCGGAGAACCTTCTTTCAGGAGATTCTTCTCCCTCAAATCGCATCCTGAAGCGCATCCCAAGCGAGAATTTATTGTTGATGGCCTCCAGATATTTGTTTAAGCAAACAATGAACTGGCTAGTCCTGAGAGAAAACAGGAAAAGGCTCCAGAATAAAAGGATTTCAAATTAATTGAAGAATCTTAAATTACAGACAAAATGAAACCATTGTCCAAACCTTGGCTTGGAATACACAACAAACAGTGTTTTGGTCATAAGAGCATGCGAAGCAGTTGCAAGCACTCCAAGATGCATGCTCTGGCTTGATATCACAGATAATGGCATCTGACTCTGTTGACGAGCTAGACGCCGAACCCCAACCCGTAATTCCCCATTGTCACCCCTACAAACATGTCCTTGTTAACAAAAATCCATGCTACCATGAACATGCATTCCTATTAATTGTGATCGAAGAATGATTACACCTCTCAAACGCAAATACCTCAAAAACACAAAGGCGTCACCAGCAACCAATCTTTTTGAAGTGACGAATGTACTCCATCCTGTGGTAAGTAAATGCCTCCGCGGTTGACCTAACATAAATTAGTGAGAAGTAAGCCCATCAATCATACACAAAAACAGGATAGTTTCTAGCATTCGACATGGCTAATAATATTAGTTCTTTCGATTAGTTTCTTTCAGCAGTCAAAGACAAAACCACATTCGCATTCATTTTCCCTCACAAACCAAGCTTTCGGTTGCAGAGAGGATACCTCTAAAGATGTGCTTAAATTTCCACTCATACCCATGAAGATCTTTGGCGATTAACTCCTGAGTTGGAGTTGCTTGGTTCATGTCCTAATGAAATAAAAATACAAGTACACGTGAAAATATGAAAAGAAAACGTTGACTGACCATTAGCATAGTAAAAAAAACAACAAAAATGTATGTAAACGAGAGTAAATACCAACGGAGGTAAGCACTCGGTGGCATGCTTTCGAAGGACTGAGAACCCTCCATGGGTGCTTGTATCGGAAGCTGTCAAAATCTTGCAAAACCAGTGAACCGTTGGCTTTGGAGCTTCGGGTTTGCATGGATCAGGACTTGTAGGTTCACTTTGCTGTAATACCAGCCGAAAGAAGATGAGTACAAAGAAAGCGGAGAGCCTTACACACTTTTCTCAGTGCTGGAACTTAAATTTTCTTTATCTAAACACCTTCAGTTACTACGAAAATTGTGCAAAAGGTTGAGAAAAATGTGAGATCTCCCCTATTCGTTTTTCAGATAATATCCCAACTGATTTAAAAAGACTTTAACATCAGTGAATTTATATTCTTTTCTCCTACTTCTAAGCAACCAAACAGAGGAAGATGAAACAAAACATTAAATAAGACCAAAAAAAAACAAACATGTTTCTCACATCTGCTTCTGGATGCAAAGTGATTTGAGCATAAACCTCATCTGTTTCTTGTTCTGCCTGTAAGCAAAAACAAACTTCAAATATCAATGAAAACCAACAAAAACCGCTCAAAACCGTTGATTTGCATGAAAAACTACATTCCGAAACGCAATACCAGTAATCGAATATTGACCACACTACAAAGGATCTTTGAGGGAAGATTAAAGAGAGGGATTTGCTGGTTCAGTTCCTGATTTGTTGATGCTTCCAGCTACAAAAAAATATATAAAAATAATAATAAAAAACCCAGAAAATAAACACAAATTAAACAAAAAAGAAAACAGATTTTGATCCATTGAGAAACAATTAAAACAAGAAGGATAGAAGAAAGGATTGTACTTGTTCCATATGACCTTGAGGAAAGTAGAAGACCTTATCTCCAGGCCTTGGTACATCCACCAGAGGCCCTGCACACAACTTCCATAGCTCTGTATACAGATCATCACCTCCCAAACCTATCAAACAAAATGTACACCCATAAAAATTAAGAAAAATAATAAATAAATAAACAAATATATGGGTCTAAAAAAGAAAACCCAGAAATTAAAACAGGTTAAAGGTTAAAACTTTATAGCAAGTTAGAGCCTTCGGTGACTGCATTGTTGTGTTTACTCAGAACCCAGAAACCAAAATTGCAAAATTTATAGCATTTTGCATTTCGTTTCCAATTTACCCAGCTCTGCTAAACTTACGAAGCAAACAAACCCACCTGTTTCCGCACGAGAAATCGAGGAGTCACACTCGAGGTGTGCCATTCAAGAGCTCAAACGAGGTCGTTCAGGGCAGCGGAGGAGCAGAGAGCAGAGGAATTGCAGCACTGAAACAAATCAAGAAGAAGAAGAAGGAAAGCTCAAAACAGCAGGGTCTTCAATGCTGAGGCAGTAATGGGTGAAATACCATAATAACGTACACCATTTACAAACAAGAGACCCAGAAGAAGGAGAGCAAAAAGGCTAAACAGACAGGACGGTTATGGAAGCGGCCATTATTGCTTGTGGCTCTGCTACTCTCCCTCCTTTTTCTTTTATCTTTTTTTACTTTTTCTCTGTAACGACTGTGAATTTTAATACTCTCTCTCTCTCTCTGATGAGGGCGTTTCAGTTACAAACCAGCCTTTTGCTTTGGCTTCTCAGCCCAAGCGAAAACAGCTCTCTCTTCTCCTCTCTCTCTCTCTCTCTCTCTCTCTCTCTCTCTCTCTCTAAGACTCTCTCTCTTCTGTCTCTGTGAGTGTATTCTGCTGGGTTTTGTTTAATCTGAATCGACGTTACCAAATCCCCAAAACTGCTGCTTCTTTTTACAAGTCATGTTGTTATTATACTAAATTGCAAAATGCTTAAACGCCTAAATTTATTTATTTATTTCAATTCTCTCATGTAATTGAGTGGAACTTGGGAGTGGGATCTATCTATCAAATGCCCATTTGTTTATTTATTCTATTTTCTTTATAAATGAGTGGGATTTTATTGTCTTATAACAGCCCATTCCACTGCACACAAAAAAATATATAAATAATTAAATTAAGTAATTAAGTAATTAATTGTACTTGATAATATTCCATTTCCATCTCATTATGGAGAGATTTTTCAATGTGCTGGAAACACGGCTGACATAATTCAATTGGTTGAAAACTTGAAGAAAAAAAAATCAAACATTTATATTATGACAATTGGTGAACTGGGCTATGTTTTCAGCTCATTGAAAAATTTCTTCCATTATGAATTGAGTACTTGATTTTTCAAAGTCAAGAAGTGATTTTTGCACTCTTTTTTCCTCTACATACATTATTTTTAATTATTAAAACACAGAAAATTCGGAAAATCGAGTGACAAAAATTAGAAGTAAATCGAGTTGCAAAAATTATTTCTTTTTTAGGTAACATATGATGACATGTTGTTAGAGTCTTGTACTAGTGATGGTTCATGGTAGGCGATTAATCATCGTAATGGAAGCATGGACCTTACAAATGTTTTTATACAACAAAAACTCAAATTGTATATTCAAAAAAGATTTCTTAAAAAAAAGATGGACCAATACCTATCATGAAAAAATGAAAAAAATGAAAACTGTAGACCAATAATTGGACCACCCCCTCTATTTGTGTGAGATACTGGGACTGCAATGTTAATTATATCATAGCTAGTGTGTGGGTTGGTGACCCAACGAAAAAGAAAAGGAATAAAAGTATTCTACCCATTTGAACTAATGTAGGCATTTATAAAAGAAAACCATTAGATTCTCGTCAAAGATAAATTTGAATCACACTATTGCTAATCTATTGCGAGGTTAAGTCCACCCCCTTCTCTGTAGATAATATCATTTGTTCAAGAAAATAAATAAATAAATTAGAGTATTAAATAATATTAATGTGTTGCATCTTCTTCTTTGTATTACACAATGAAATAAGAATTTACCTAATCATGATTAAGGTGGAGAGTTTGGCAATGTAGCATGCCTCCTGGCCAAAAATTCAATCCACAATTTAATTAGTAATTGTTATGGAAATATGGTACATTGTTAAAATTGGAATATGGTATGTTGTTTGTAAATTGGTAGCATACATTCAAGGAAAAATTCACTATTTTAATATTTCAAATTGGCAATTGTTAGCATAACTTGTCAAATTGTTTTGAAAAAAAATCCTTAAATTTGTTCGCAAGTTTCATGTAGTACCAAATTCGGTACATGACTTTTGTGAACAATGGATTGCCCTAGTGAATAACGCATTTCTCTTCATCAACTGCATTCCGAGTTTAAAAACTCTCCTTTCAAATAGTTTAGTGTAAATTCTCAATAGTTTTTAAAACAAATGAAAAATGAGCTTACTCTAAAATTTAAGTAACATCTCTATTATATTCTAATTATTTAATCAAGAAAACTGAAATAATTTTTCTTTATATTACCCATTATATATGGGTGATGTTCATATTCTACATTAAATTTATATTATTGCATTTTTTTAATTCTTTAATATCAATTAATATTCTACACTAACTTTTTTTATCTCTTTCACACCTTCCGTTAATTGATTATTTTTAATTCATTCGATCCAACAACTAAAAATTTAAAAATATATGTATAGCATCACCTTAATTGAAAAATATACGAAAGAAAAAATTTGAACTTGAGTTAGAGAATAAAACTACTTTAGGTAATTGGACGAAACCTTAGCGACCTTTTCTTTGTTAAGTAAATGAGCTAGTGCTATTACTGTGCTAGCTAGTTTAGTACATGGTGGTACAGTAGGGCTCACGATAATTCGAACCTCAACCATCTGAAAACAACGGCGGAGCACTTAATGCTGGACAAGGATTGTCTCTCATCTTTTTTTCCATACCCTTCTATACCTTCATGTTTTGTATGGTCACGGTTAAGCTACGTTAACATTTTTATTATTTTTATTATAAAGATAATAAAACAAAAATAAATAGTAATATAAAATGTTGACGTAGTTAACCGTAACCACACAAACAAAAAAGCATAAAAAAATAGAGGAGAGACAATTCTTGTCCCTTAATGCCTCCGTCGTCATCACTGACCAAACGGAGCCTAACGCTACCCCGTTATACTTTGACGGCCTCCGTTACAGGTTTTGCTTCGTCGCCGTTTTTGTCGCTGTCTGCGTCGTGTCGGGCAATCATATTGGCTCGTGTAAATCCGGCAAAGAATTTCCTTTTGATTTTTTTGTGTGTTTTTATTGATATTTTCTCGTTAATTTTTGACCTCTTACAGCCGTTCTTATTACGTAATTTGCCACTGCATCCGTTTATTTTGGTTAGTGCTTGGAACTTTGGATTCCGCGCGCCCTTGGCAACTGTAGGCCACGCGTTGCAACCATAACACAATTTCCAACTCATTAGCAATTAATTGGAGCAAGGTAAAATGATTAAATGTACATAGATGCTTTTTTTTTTAAAGACCATATAATGTTAGAAAAAACCAAATATTCTCTTCTCACTCGCTTATATTCTGAAAATATTCCTAACAATTTTAAGTGGATGAGAAACAATTAGACATCACATATGACGGGCAGCTCCTTTTCTTTTTGCTGCTAGGAAAGTTATCTTCCTTTCTTTTTCTTCTTCTTTCTTTGTTTCTCTCTCTCTCTCTCCCCCCCCTTGCATAAGGTTAAATTTGTTATTAAAATTTTCATCCAAAAGTAGATGAGAAAATAAGAATGCAAGGGTATATCAGCACTCAGGTAAATATTGCACACAGATTACTTGTTTTAATTACAATTATAAACCTCGTTTATTATACCAAAATAAAATTTTATAGCTACACATATAATATTAGAGAAATGCTAAGGAGATTCTCTTAAAGTTGGACTCTTCAGCACATCACAGTTTAACATTACTTCTCGTGTTAACATTATAAAATATATGCCAAAAACATGAGATGACAAAGAGTCCATGAATAATCTCACTTTTGAGAGAGTCTCCTTAGCATTTCTCATAATATTATGTATGAGAGTTTCATAATTAAATGGAGAACTTACTCTCGTAAATTAATGGCAACAATTGATAATGTGTTAAGTAATTTGTTTAATCGTAAAAAATTAAGTGAGCTAAACTACACATCAAAACGTGATAAGTGGCTAGCTAAGCAACTTACTCTTCCCTCCTGCTTAGAATGAGAGATTTTTCAATATGATCGGTACACGGGATGATACACCATGTGTCATGATACAAATGGTAAGATATGTGTGTTAAAAAGTTAATAACTTAAAAAATAAAATTTTATACCATTCATATAAAAACATATGATGTACCTCCATTGTTCCGGTCATAATAAAAAATTTCTTGCTCAGAATAATTGAAAAGAACCAAAACCCTTGACAGAATGCACCCTTATTTCCATACAAACACAACCAAGAAAACCCTTGAAAGGAACCAAGGTTCCCATAAAGGGGAAACTTGATATAAGCCCAATTTTTTTAGTCAATAGTAGGAATAATAAAATTTATTAAAATAAGTCCAATTCCTTAAATTTAATTATTTAATTATCAATAATTATCTCTTCAATGAAAAATTTTATTGTAAAAATCAAATTTCGTGCTAATTATCTCTTTGATTATTTCTTTTTATTTATTTATTTTTGTTATTTCTTGTTCTTACTCTTGCTTTGTCCTATTTATAGATTTTATTTTAATTTTTATAATCAACCTATATTACAGGTTAATTGTATTTATCTACCTATATGACATATTTTTTTCATAGTCAATCTGTCACTAATTAATGTGTCTTGCTTGTAGGTATATTATGTTTTTTCTACCTTTTAGTTAGGTTTCATATCTCACTTATAGGTATAATATACATTCACAAATTTGCTACTTGAGTTAGGCTAGAATGTTTTGCAGATAAATTTATGTTAGTATATTAGTTTTTTTGTTATAAGATATTAATTAAATATTTTGGAGTTGGAAAATGCATAATATTAAAAGATTTTAATTGATTTTTAATATTTTTAGAAAACATTAAATGAGTATAAAAGAAATAAATACATATAATTAGATAACTGGATTCACTTCTAAAAACACTCTATGATTTTGGACCTAGATCTAAAAGCCCCTTAAATAAAATAACAAGCATAAGGTGCGCGTGAACGCACTTGTTACGAAGAGAGCGTTGGCCGATGTGGCTTGGCTTATACACAATATATCCTAGGGTTTATCAATCATCTATGTGACCACTCGGATCTATTTGGTGGTCCTGCTCCCACCGTACACGTCCTAATGCCAAGCTCATTAAGCTTAGCCACGTGGTCTGGTCGTTTTCGTGCCCACGTGTCGTGAGCCAACTAGTTTTTCCTCTCCGATGCAGGACATTCTGCTGCATACAAGCCATTGGACAAATAAAAAACCCAACAAATAATTTAGAGGAAAATATCAACTTTTTTCAAATAAAGAAAAAAAAAACTTGAAAAATGAAAATAAAAATTCATTTTTTGTATTTCGTCAAAAATAAAAATTCAATTTTTAATATGCTCAAAATATTGAATTTCAACGTTATAGAATTTTTAGTTCTGAAATTAGAGTTTTCACGTTATTAGCAAGGAATGAGATAATGTAGATTAAGGGATTAATCTTCAGTTACACGAATGCACACATGTTATATTTGTAGCATATACAAATACATTAAAAAAAACATACATACGCACTTAATTAGCTCTTAATTCAGTGGTAAGTTTGGTGCGCACCACATGGATCAAGCTAAAATGAAAAAAACTCCTGGACATGATTTGCTTAAATATTGGACACTTTATCGTAATAAAATCGACAATGTTCGATAACATACAGAGGTTGACAGGATGATATATATGATGTATTCGTATACAACTAAT